GCGCCCCACCGCCTGACGTGGCGGGAGTATCTGGGAGGGCGGAGGCGTTTTAACTTCGGCACCCATCTCTCCTTCCCCCCTGGAACTCCACCCAGTGAGAACGATGCTTAATGTTGCCCGTGTCTGTTTCACATCACTGGGTGTTTTTAGCGTCACCGTGCATCAGAATGTAAATTCTCACCTGGTCATTCCCACCGGCTTTTCTCTCCCGTGTTATTAACTCCTTGTTAGTAGTAATTCCTGTTAGTTAAGAGGCCTAGCGATGGGCCAGAATCCTGTTAGAATGGCCACTGCAGAAATACAGGTTGGAAATGACTCTCCTTGCTACAGAAGTTTTACTTTGCAAAAAGAGGTACGTGCAAGCATGGTGAGAGCCATATACAATGAGGCTGTCAGGGTGCTTTTCCTATACGCTCAGCATTTCAGTAGCTTAGACGATTTTCTTTCTCAGCTTCACGGCAGAAGAGTTCTGCGGAATGCTTCGAAAGGCAACCATGAAGATAATACTTACACAGGCTTCCTCCCAGACTGGAGGAGTAGTGTCAGAGGAAAACAAAAATGTTTGCAAAAAAAAAATCTGATCGGTTGAAGGGAAATGTGACATAAGCCAAGAAGAGTTGGAATGTGACCTTCCAGCGCTGCATGAGAGATGATAGATAGGGTGGGGATAGCTTGTGGAGTGACTTGAAAGCAGATAATTATCACTGTCCTAGAAGATAATTGTAGAAGCGCTCTAAATAGATCTAAAGAAAAAAAAGTTCACTCCTTAAATCTGAGAAAAGAATGTTAAGATTCAAGATGAGTGGTTTAGGTGTTCAGATATAATTTATTGTACAAGTTGATGTTGCGTATTTCCGTAGAAATATTCCTCTTTCTGCATGAATATGCACAACTATATATATTTTGGGTCCTAGTGAAGCCATATGGGCTTTTTTTAGAATCTTCTGTTAATCTTTCAAAGTCTTCTATTAGCAACTTAGGTAAACTGTAGTCCATATAACATTTTACAGGTCCCAGGAGATCACCTTTTTTGAGGTTTTATTGCAGGACCGCTATCTTGCAGCTGGCTCTGAGCAGGCAAACCTTCCTGGCAAAGCCTTACTTGAAGCTGGTAGTAGGCTATTGACTCACAGCCAGCTGGTGCCTAGGTTAGGTGGGAAAGAAGATTGCTCTGACACTTTAAAAAACATACAAAGTTTGCTTAAATTTGAATGAGTTTGTGCTCTTGCAGTACTGATTGATTTTTCTTCTCCATTAAATCCTATCTTTCAACTTAGGATACTGTTACATTAAAGAAGTCTGTGGCAATATATAATGAAAGAATTTATAAAAATAAGTTTGAGGATTGTAGAATTACCCAGACAAGATAAATTGTGTCAAATGAGCCAGTTCTAAAATGCCTAAAATATTTCTCTGTGTCAAGATGCAGCCTAAACGTAGACTGACACATTAGAGAACACTTTTGAAGTTTGATTTTCTTTGTATCAATTTGACATCTGTCATCTATAATTAAGTATTTTAGCTTTAATCAGTCCGTAACACGAAGGTCCATTTACGTAAGTTCTTCTGGTATTAGACTCAAGAGCTACCCTATGGTGCTCATAATCATGCTACAAAGGTCATAAAATGCTAGACTTTGAACCAGTTATTAAGACTGATCGAGGCAGTGTCTTTAGCTGAACTTGAGAAAATAAAATTTGGGGTGGGAGGAAGGGGAAAAAAAAGGTCTGGAAGTCTGCTTAAAATAAAAAAAAAGAGGGGGGAGGGAAGGCTGTTTGTAGTAGAGAAGGTTAATGACATTTGGGTTATGGTGAAGGTTTGTTTAAGTACCATCACAGAGAATGGTGCATGCAGTGTTGTGTTAATGAGATGTATAGAAATTGTTTCT